AAAGACAAAATGGGAAATTTATCTTAACCACAAAAAGTGCTAGAAAACGTTGACTTTTCAGTGTTTTTCTCCTAAAAAATCTAAAGAAAGGTGGTGTTAAACAAAAAAAAAAAAAAACAAAAAAAAAATGGAAACAATAGTTTAAAAAAATCAAAGCGGGAGAAAAAAGAAAAAAAAAATTTTATGTGTTCAGGTAAGCAACAAAATGTGTGCTTCCTTTAATGAGACAAATTAATATACCTCGTTGCTGATTGGTGAAACTGCCAAAACTAATGCAATGCTTTGGTTTCTCGGTCAATTGAACAAAAATATGAGGTTAATTTTCTTGTATTATTATTTTTTATTTTTTGTTTTTCCTAAGAACCAATTTAAACGAATCAAATAATCCTAAAAAACTTCCTAAGAAAAAGCTCGGGAAAACTTTGAAATGAAAAAAATGGAAAAAAGGCTTGAAAGCTTAGTGAAAATGAACTTCAGATGATAACTACAACCCATACACACTGATGATTGTCTCAAGAAAAAAACGGCCACAACTGTAACCAACTTCCGGCCACACAACCTGAAAATAATTAATTTTCAAGAAAATAATTAGTTTAAACAACGATTGAGTTTCAAAACTCTAGTAAATCTGTATGCAAAAAAAATTCTCAAAAAGAACTCTGACTCAGTTCCTCACCTCAGCCCTAAATAATCAAAAAGGTGTGAAAAAAATTTCTCGAAATGTCTGTATGACAGCTTCCGCAGCAACAGACAGTACTTGTAAAAGACGCGATGCAAAAAGTATTCAAAATTCTAAATGCTTCTCAGCTTTCAAACGTAAACAAGACAAAAAATACAGATAGAAAAAATTGCATAAAACTTACATTTACAATAGGTGATGTCCTAGGAGCCATGCCATAAACAACAAATATAACAAATAGAACAGAAACAAAACAGGGAATAAAAAATATCGTGCACTGCACGATGGATCAAACAACAGACGGCGTGTTACAAACTAGTGACATTTCGAGCATCAAGGAGATTATTAACGTTTCTGGCTGGTACCCCAAGAAATTCACAAATTCCATTATTGACAACTCCGTTAGCAATAAGATCAGGTCTTGAAGTTAGCGGTACGTAAGAAGTTTGAGAGGTAAGTAACGACGCCAGTGGGTTAGCGGGAAGAAGTAGACTACTAAGATTGTTTGGTGTAGATGGGTTTTTGAATTGTTGAAGAATTGGCATATTAAAGCACGGCTGCAGAAGAACATTATTTACTGCTGGATTAGCCACGTGGTCCTGCGCAACCGACTGTAACGTAGCCGTAGCAAGTTGTGTCTGTTGTTGCTGTTGTAAAAGTTTTGGAATTGTAGCCTGTTCAACAACTAAACGTGCAAGGGTCTCAGCCTTCAGCTTTGCTTCTAAAAGATCTTGAGATAAGCCTAACTGATCCCTAGAAACGCTCACAGACTCAGCTTGTTGCTTAGTATTCTGAAGAAAATTAGCAATCCCATTTACACTCCTTTCATTGACGGCTGGAAAAGGATTTGAAGAGCTAGGTGATGAGTGACTGACAGGTGAGACAACAGAGATTGATGGCTGAAGCTGTATACCACCCATAACGGATGAAAGCTGTTGCAAATTTAAACCACTTGGAGGTTGGCCCACATTTAGAGATGGTTGTTGCTGTGATGAAACAATTGCTGGTTGAGTTCGAGCAAAATTTTGAAGGGAATAACTGAGATCTGGTAGCATTGGAGTGAGAATTTTCCCGGTAAGCGGTGATGGATTTATTGTTTTTGTATTCAATGCATCAGACTGTATATTGATTGCCACACAAGGATTTGGAGCAAATATTCCTGAGTGTAAATTGTTATTTGTAACAGTTGAAGGTCCCAGAAGTCCACGCTGTATTTGTTGCCCCGTAGATCGAATTCCAGCCTGCAGCTGAGGCTGAAGGCCTGATGGAAAGGTATTTGTCAACGCACCTGGTAATGAAACAGGGGGTGTGCTAATGTGCACGCCACTTTGAATCGTATTTGGTGTAGGTTGTCGATACAAATTTGAATTTGCTGAGTCTGCACGTGCTGACGACTGTAGATGAGGAAATGAAATCCCAGAAGCTGCATTTGCATCTCTACAGCCCCCAATAGTTGATGAAAGTAAGCAATCATCATAGCGTTTAATAGGGTCATCTGCTTTATTAACGCTCAAAGATGTATCCAACTTCCCGCCTGTAAGAAGCTGTTTGACGGCAGGACCAGATGGCCCAAGAGGTATAGGTTTAGCAATACATTCATTTTTAGTCAGTGGTGATTGTTTACGATAACTTTTTGATGGTACAACTCCACTTGCCATGCCTGAAACTCGCTGCTGAACCAACTGATTTGGCATAGGTTCTGAAATAATAGCACAATAAAAGATCAGTACTAATAAAGGGTTTAAACGCTTCACGGTAGCATAGCATTAAGGAAGCATAAAAGGTAGGAAGTAAAAGTGCGGACATCCCTTAAAAAACATCGGAGGAATCAATTTTAGAACACTACAAACCTTGATCATATTGCAGATTGAGATGTGATGTGGTAGACGCTTCAGACACATGAACAATCTGGATTTCTTCTTCAGATTTTGACAGTGCAGCAGTTGTTGGTGATTCTTTTTCCAAAGAAAAAAAGGTAGTATTTCCAGTCTAGAACGGTTTCCTTCAGCGGAATAAAAAAAATATGAACGAAAAGAAATGTTGTCTTGGTAGAAAATGATCCTGTTGCACATTAATAGGAAGTTTACTGTAATGAGGAGACGCCTACCTCCTTAGAATTAAAGCGCTTGACCTTGTCATCATAATCGTCACCCTCATGTTTCCGCTTCAGAGTAGTCCTAGAAGTTATAACTTCTTGGACAGCCAAAGTATTACCGCTGGTGTGCTTCGAAGCATTCAACAAGGTTTCAATATCTGGTCTGATAGTTCCATCCATACCATACTTTCGAGTAACTTTCTGAGTGGCAGGTTCAAAGTTATCCATCGTCGTACCTTTGATTTCTTCACACATTTCATCCAAGCTCTTTTTTTCTGTATGCTCACTACGTTTACCATATATGCTCATTTTAGCCTTTGCACAAGGACTGCTTCCCTGATCCTGAGCCATTGTGTTTGTACACGTTGACGGGTCGCTACTTGAAGTTGGAGAAAATGACGTCGTAGCAACAATTTCCTCAAATTTGCTGACTGTTGGCTTCGTGATTTTGTCAATTCCTGAGTTTGGACTGGCCAGTTCTGGAAGATTTCGTCTAAGATCTTCAAGGCGCGATGAACTCGTTCCTGCAGAAAAATTAATGTTCCGACAACAAGACTGCTACGCATGATCTGTTACATATATAATGTTAAGGAAAGAATTTGTATTCTTACTCGTAATCTTGACAAATGGAAAATGAACACAGCAATCTTGCTAAAATTTGAAAAGAAATTGAAATTTTGAATCCTATTTCAACTCTCTTCTATCATTGAAACACTCCTCTACAAGAAAAAAAGAAGGCAAGAGAAACGAATCGCCAGATGTAAATAGTACTAACGTTTATTGGTCAACAGAATTTTAATTAAATAACTTGCATACTTATAAAAAACAGAAAAGTCAATTAACGTTTTATTTAAACAATTCTTAACTCAGTTGCACAACAGTAAATTGAATAAAAGAGGTCAAAGTTTTAGTAATAGCCAGTAACTGTTATATGAGCAAATATTCTGATAAGCAAGACCTTGAAGAAGTTCCCGCACCGGAGTCGTACTTAAACTTTTGGTACCACCCCGCAACTGATAGAGGCTCTGATTCCGTGAATTAGAAGAGGCTGCCTAAAAGTAATATCCTGACCAAGAATAGGACAACTTTAAATTAGCATAGCAGTAGATGTGTGTCAAGAACCATACGAACAACACCTCCAAAAAAAATTTTATCAGCTTAGATAGCGACTAAAATAAAAATATGAAGAAACTCGAGCATTTTGATGACGTTTAAATGTTCTTTCACACAGACACTTTCATCCTTCTCATTCAAGCACTCTTAATGATTCTTAGACGTCTTCCCCAATTTGAATCTGTATTCAGATTAACACAGAATGAAGAGTTGGAACAGATCTACCTAACAAAATGCAGTGTTTGAGAAACCACAACTTCTAAAAAAATTAGAATGCTTCATAGCCTAACTGTAAAACGGAAAAAATAAGAAATAAGTGTACTCATGCAATTAGATAAATTATCGAATACACTAAAAGAACTAATACACATCACCTTCACTGCATGAAAGACTTGAGAAGCAACTATTCTGTCAAAGAAACAGAACTACTTAAACTGAAACCATTTATTTGAAACAAAAAGCACCACTTCCTTACTGAGGATTATATCGTAATATAACAATTTCAAGAATGGCTTCTGAAAATTTAGTTTTTTCTCTACAAAAAACAAAAAAAATTGCGGTAGCGTTGCCGCGACCAAACTTCCAACTAGTTGAAACTTATCATGACAATTTAAAAAAAAAGCAAGCGGTTGAGGAGGAAGTTGAAAAACGTAAATTACACAAGGCTTGGTACCACAGCTACATTCGACTTTCTTGATGTCTGTGAAAGTTCATTCGACTAAACGTTTTCTCATAGATTTAAGTACTTCCTCCTCAAAATTCATGTAACGAAGTAAAAACCTTTCCTTCAGTCCTTCCGGCTACAAACCTGCAAAACTCTTTCCTGTTGAGCTGTTACGCCGGCAATATAACACAGAACTTAAAAAAACAGCGATTCTGCAGAAAAAGTTTTGCGGGATAGAAAATTGGCTTCGTTACACATTCCTGCACTTTCCTCTGATAACCCATAGAATCTTCACTTCACCCTTTCTGTGTCCTAATCAGGTTCTCCAGTTTCTGCACCAAAACATCCTCCCAATTTTTTCTAAAGCCTTCTACAAAACAAGGTTAAAAGATTTTTGTAAACAGGAGCTTGAAAACTTTCTCCCTACAACGCAATAGAAAATTGAACTTAAACCATTTTTCAGTTCTTTACATCCAAACACTCGTAAGAAAAGGAAAGCCATCTCAAACAATCTTGAAATACTCTTTAACATTCAAAAACAACTTTGAAATAAAATGTAAAACCGCTGCCAAAGATTATCGTATCGTGCCTCCCCATAATAGCATCAGGCAACTGAAAAAACTTAATCTAATCATTTATACAATAAAAGAGCATTCCGCAGCCTTCAGAAAAATGATAAATGTAACTTTAATAGATAAAAAATATAAGACAAATGAGAAATAGTAAACAGCTTTAAAAACCATTAGTGAGCGAAATGTAGCAACTTTCAAAACAGCGTGATGCTTAAAAAAACACTTTGCAAATGAAAAAAAATTTTATGATGAAAAACGGCCTCTTTACTTGTCTATCAGTTGCTAAAAGTTAGTCGAGATAGCGATGCTAACCAATAATAACATCAAATAGAGCAAGCATTTAATACTAGCAAAAATGTCAGATACAACAGACCTACCGTGATGCCTGATTTTCTCAATGGCTTAATAAAAAGTAATCTACTCAAAAAAAAACTAAGGTAACAGATCCTGTGCTCAGGAGGCTTCTGCTCTTCTCCTCCCAAAAAAGGAGTATAAAAAAAAACAATAATGAAAAAAGCGTTTGGTATGCGCTGCAAAGTCAAGGTGGTTGTTATGCACTTAGCAGAAACAAAAAGTTACCTGAATGGTTGCACCTAAGTAACAGTAAAAATAAAAATAAATAGTAACGAAAAAAGAAATAAGCATTATGAATCTCCCTATTGCTTTGAAAATAATAAAATTTCAGTGCTGAGATGTATTTCCTCTAAAATTTCCTCTAGCTCTGCTCGTCGATTATTTTTCTCTGAGACATCGTTGGACTGGAAATTTGGGGTCTTAGAAGGTTATGTTAAAATGATGACGCTGAATGCGCATTTTTTTGTATTATAGCGTTCAGGACCTTCAGAAACAGCAGGTGCTCGGGCCAAAAGCGATAAATTGAGTTATCCTCTCAAATATGGTGCGGAAAAGTAAAATATCGATTTGGTTTTTATGGTAATGGCGGAGAAAAGACTAGCCATTTGAAATACCACGAAAGTGCACGCGCACAGTTTTTATGATGAACTTAGTGAAAAAGGGTGAGCTACTAATAAGTTATGAGAACCGAATTCAGTGTTCCAATCCCACTGGACTTCCGTTATAAAAACGAGCAACAACCAGCTAAGATTAAATGATAAGAGCAACATAGAAGAGTAAATTCACTAGAAAACAGAAATTGAACATCATTTGGCAGAAGATGTTGGACCAAAAATAAGATGTGAAAAAATGCACTGAAATATATCTAAATTTTATTGGTCAGAAACACAACACCTAATTTGGGAAAGTATAAGGTAAGCGACCAGGAAGCACCGTGACGGTGCCAAGAAAGGCTGCTTGCTCCCAGTACTTCAAAACAGGGCAAGTCGAACAAAGCTAGAACGGAAATTTTCCTTAACTAAGGAGTAATCTCAGTGAATTTTTC